GTCGCAGTTGTAGATGGTTTGCTGACTCATGGATCAGGGCGAAAAAACAAAACATATTTTAGCACTTTATTACCAACGCGTTTCGTTACTCATGCCGTCACATGATTATATATATGCCGACTTGCTGTTGATTATATATATAATCAGGTAACTCATGCCACTCTTGTAGTTCCTTGGGTCTAGAAACATTTTTATTCAGGAAGTATACCCAGCAACCTGGAGGACGCGTTGAATGTGGTACCCAGCTCCAAGAGTGGAGATAGCGAGCGATAGGACATGCATCAGAAAGACCCAGTGGAAATTGAATATCCGGATTAAGGAACACTCATCTGCGGTCCGCTTCAGCAAAGCTAATTACTTTCGTACTGCACGATACGCTTTTCTGAGGAACGCTCCTTCAATCGTGCGAACGTATCTTTAATCGATAGAGATCGGTCGAAGCTTGGCCATCTGATGAGGGAGTCCCTTCTAATTTTGAGGTGAAACATAGTTTGCGCAAGAAACTTTTCTTCGCTGTGATGTGTGATGAATAACGTGCTATTAGGAACTTGACAAGAAAATTCGGAATCACGAAATGAGTGACTGAGGTTAAACCCTTATCTTAGCTGCCTGATACTCCATGGTATCCTGACGACGCCACGTTACGGTGTGCGTAACGGAAGGCGTTGGCAATAAAGTGTTGACATCCGCGTTGTTTGGTGCCCTCAACCGTGAATCGTCAAACAATTTGCAATTTCCGCTCAGCGCCAAGAATCGGATATGCTGAGTCAGATTTGCTGTTCGTAGTCCGTCATAATGCTCAAGTTTTAATGTCTTTGAAAAATGCGAAGTCTATGGTCACGTGAGGCAATTTGAAAACAAAATTTCGATTTATTCTATGCCCCTCATGACTTTACAATAAAAGCGATGCGTTAGGGAAATTCCTGCCTTCCTATTTTGTGCCAAATGGGCCTTGCTTCGATTATGCCGAACACAAAGGAATATCATTTTTGAACACGGGATTTGAGACGGCTGATGACCGTGACCTGACTGGGTGCTAAGAGACCGTCTTTAATTTGAAGCCGATCGACTATATGGCCCACTTTCAACTGGAAATCAATTTTTTTTACTGGCAAATGATAATATTGAGGTTCCACCTCATCTATGTCATCATTATAATGGACCGCTGAAGAGTGGAGGTACTAGTGCATAGTGTCCCTTGTGTTGTTGAATTGTTTGTTTATTGAGGTCATCATTCTGCGCTGCTTGCATGACCAGAAAATCCCTGGCTTGTGATATTCACCGTATTCGACGCTTTACAACACCTCTTTTATAAAGTGCCGGCTACAGCGTCATAGAAAAACAATTTCTTTCCAAAAGCAGATCTGTCTCTACCTTGTTATTCCATATTGCATCCTAGTCTCCAGATCGATATCTGTCGTTTGCGGCTTACTCTTGAGAGGCTCATGCGCTTGGGTAACTGGCTTATGTTCAGCCAGTCTGTACAACAGTGCAGACCTCAGTTTCTTAGGCTCCACATTTGCTGAGGTCACTTCTGCCAAGAACAGAATGGATTTGTTTATACGTGGTTCTGCCATCAATCCTTACTCAGCCTCGAAGCGACCTTTTCGTGTAACAACTGCACACACGCCCAGCTGATGCAGGTTTCACGGTCATTAACCGATAAACGGAGCATCAATAGAGGAACTGTTCAGACAATTATCTGAGCTGGCTAATGTGGCATTTCAAAATAATATACGCAGTGTCGGGCTTCCTTTGCCTATTAGTGTACTCTCTTAATGGGGCTTCATTTTCCATTGTATGAGTCAATTTTTCCCATAGATTTATATCAATTTCCGCAGGTTTATGTCATTCTCTACAACATTGCGCCTTTTACCTTATGATCTTCAATTTTTTCTCTTCCGTGATAGTATCAAAGCTTGAATCACGTTTCTTGTATGTTATTTCCGAAGGGCTGAACCAATGCCGCATGTTTCTTATGAGGCTCGCTGTTGTTGGGGCATACCCTAATGTAGACCTTGGGCGACTATTCTGGATGTGATCCTTCTTGAGCAAA